GAGGTCAGGTCCGTTGTCCCGCCTGTGTCATGACAGGTTCGGAGACCCCAAGACATGGCATCGCACACCCACCCACGTCATCAGCCAGCTCCACGCTGGGACCCGTCCAGGTTTGCACCGGTAGCATCACCCTGACCATGTGGTCACCCCAGCGTCTGAGCCCCGGCGGGGAGATGCCAGGGCCTCTTGTTTGCTACCAGCTGTAAGCAGTTTTGCAAGCAAACACAGACACATACAGCAGTTAACCTATCGCTAAAATAAACCATTAGAAATTACACACTGGTCTGGAGGCTGCTCTGGCAAACCTGATGCCACTCAGAGCATGCGCTCAACATCAACCCAGTTTAATGTGGAAACAATTTTAGGAGTACAGATTAATCACAGCAGCATCCCCATGGGGGCAGAGGAGACCCAGTGCTTCACGAAAACAGCAGTGAAGCTGGGACATGGGAAGGCAGAGGAGCGGCTCTGGGGAAGCGCATCTTTCACCCAGGCAGCTCACTACAGCACAGGCACCCAGGAGGTCTCCAAATAAACCAACTGAGGAGCTGTAACCCCCTGGGTCCAGCGCTCAGACCCTCCATAAACCCACCCACAGCACCCACCAGCAGATACCTCTGCCAGGCAGACGCCACTCAGAAGTCTACAGGAGTCAAGCGTGGCCGTGGGGAGAGGTCAGCTGCTCCTCGAGCCACCAGCACGTGGCACAGGGCCACACCTAACTGCGGCTGAGCCAGAGTATGGCCCCGGAGGACTCTGCAGAAAAAAGTGCTGCTTGGACTGGAGGATGCAGCTTCTGGGATGCTGCTGGGCATGCCGGAGAAGCTTAAATGAACAGCCTGTTGCCACCTTCCCTGGGGGAGAAGCAGCACATGTTGTTATCAATCTCACCTCTGGTTCAAGCACTGTTTCACATACTTAAAAACCCTCCCTGCAGGTTCTGAGGATTGAAGAATGCTCTTTGCTGATGGCTTGGGGTGCTGGTGCTCCAGATGGGTCTGTTCCCATGGGAAAGGAAAACCTGGGGGGGGAAGTCAGTCTGCCTCGAAGCAGGTGTCAGCATCCTCCACGTGACGGGCTTGGGCAGTCACCAGCACGATGGCCTCTCATAAGGGCAGGCGTGGAGTCCTTCGGGTCGCTGAACTCCCTTGCTCCCTGCCAGCTGTGAAGGACTCCCTCCTCACGAAACCTTGCCTGCTCAGCACAGCACCCCTGCCCTGGCTGCCTCCTTGCCTGGGCTGCGCCAGCCTGGCAGAGCCTTTCTCCACCTCTGCTCCTCATAAACCTTGAGAAAATGCAAACTAACCCACGAGCAGCACACAGCCAAGCCCAAGCCCTGCTGCTCTCCATGCTCACATCCCTTAAGGAAGCACAAAGCAAGCCGAAAGAAGAGCGCAGCTATTGCATGCTCGCATGCAGTTCAGCCACCTCCGAGCTTTGCCGTAGCAAACCCCATTCCCATTAAAAACCTATTTCTAGCACCACCCACAGCCCCATAAGCTTTTCCTGATGCCCAAAGTGGCTTCCTCAGTGTGTCCACACAGCCCTCCTGCCTGCTGTCTGCTGCTAAATTATGAGACGGAAGCTTTCCCTGCAACTTGGATGAGTCTATGCAATTCTGCACAGCGCTCTTCATCTTCATTCCTCTAATTATCCCTTTAATTTGTTGCTTCTTATTTTTACATACCTCCCACACCTCCCCCACGGCAGATTGTGACTCGCTTTTCTGCGTATCCTCCTCGTCGCTCCTCACAGCCCCACCGACATGGCGTGCCTTGGTCCTGGCAAGGCTGAACTCTGCCGCTGAGTCTCACCCAGCATAGTGTTATGTGAGATTTCCAAGTTCAGATGGGAGCAGAGCGAACACGTGACTCATAGAGGTCTGAGCTTGAATTTAAGCCCTGCAATAGTCAGTCCCTCTGTGTTTCAGATCCTCACCTGTAATGCAAAGTTCCGGCACATCCTGCTCTGCCTCTGCCCAAATATTCCCCCATCATCCCAAGCATCACTCATGCAGGAGCAGCCCGAGCTGCCTTCTCCTCCTGATCTCCAGAGAAGCACCCTGAGTCAGCCAAGGCAGGCACCCAGAGCACACAGCGAGGAGGTCACCTTCTCAGCAAAGCTCTTTCATTTACATATGTATTTATTTATTTCTATTTGCTTGCTGCTGCTCCCTGCGGCTCCTGGGACATTTACATAATCAGATCATAAGGCGGCTGGACAGAAACTGCAAGCACTGGCACCGGAGCATCCATCCCTTCCCACTGCAGGCAGCAAAGCCCAGCCCTGCCCTGTCCCTTGCCCACTGGCCGGGGCACACTGGCCACACAGGTCCCAGCCAGGAGCTGGACCCGAGCGCAGAGCCCAGGGCTGCTCCCATGAGCCCACTGCTGCTCAGGAAGAGGTCAGGAGCAGAGACGGCTCCCAGCAGTTTGTCATAGCCAATAGCTCACAGGCCCAAACCTCCCTAAACTGCTTGGGGGTGCAACCGAAAAAGAAGCAAACGCAGCACAATCTCGGCAACGAACAGACAGTGCTGCATGTCACCGTCCCAAGCCAGCCACAGCGTGGATATGAGCCACGGCATCTCCTGCAAAAGCCAATCTCTGCTGTACAGGCAGAGGTGATGCCCTGGGAGGCAGGATTCAGCCACACCAGGTCGGAGCAGATCAGTGAGGTTTGGTGCTGGGGCCAGGGCAGAGCGCGGATGCGGAGCATCCACATGCCAGCACCAGCCCACCACTGCTGGCTGGGACCTCTCTGGGCAAAAGCCAGCAGATGGGGGATGCTTAATTTCTCCTGCAAGGAACTACCGGCCCGTCAAAAGCACCCTGTGCTCCCATGGGATGCGTGGCCCTGAGAAGCCCGCAAGGATCAAGGTGGGCAGGAGGAGGGTGTATTTTCACCTACTACCAGGAGACGGCTTGACTCCATGTGCTTCCCTGTAGCGATGTTTCATGTTTCGACACAGAAGATTTCAGGACCTTTGCATTGCCCAGAGCCACCCCCTGCCCCATGAGAGACTCCCTGGGCAGGGCCTGCACAGCAGCTCGCAGAAGGCATCACCCCATGCTAAAAAGATAAATCGAGGTGCAAAAAGGGATCCATGCAGGAAAAGGTGACAGCACAGCTGGGAGCACCAGTCCACCATGATGGGGTGGTCAGGCTGTCAGATGCCTCCCTCCTGGCCTCCCACAACCCTACCAGGCTCCCCCTCCTCCTGCCTTTGTAATCCACTCCCCCCAAAGCATCGCTGTTTTACGGGGGTCAGTGTTCCCCTGCCCACAGCTCCATCACCTCACCCAGAGACAATGGGCTCATCAGCAAGCTGGAAGAGCCCCAACTACCACCCCATCCTGCTTCTTCCATGTTACAGCCTTTCCCCTTTGGACATCTCCTCCAGATGCTCAGCTGCGAGACGAAGTACAAAAGGATGCTGTTAAAAACAGATCTCTGACATCCACCCGAAAATAAATGCCTCGCTCCCTCCCTGGCCCCTCTTACCCACTTAGTGTTTTGGACAAACCATGTTTCTACTGTTTTTTCCCGGCACAACAGGTTTTGTGCTATTTTCCACTGTCCAGATAGCCTTGCTCAAGCTTTTATCACATCGCAACCACCACAACCTCCTCCTCTCTAGGGTGGACACAACAAATACTGTTCCGCTCATCCCTTCCCAAAAGGCTGCTGAAGAAAGCCTCTCCCCAGCAATTCCCTGCCTGCATCCCATCACCGGTCTGCCTCATAACAGCAAACCCTCACTGCTCCCGGCAGCACCAAGGGTTCTGCTGCCACCTTGCACCGTTCGCAACACGCTGCCATCCCCACTCCAAAAACTTTGACAAACTCTCCACAGGGAGAGCACTGCATAGGCACCTCCAAAGCTGCTCCAAAATGCAAGACGCTGTCTCAGGAAGCCCTTTCCCCCCCACAGCTACAAAATCCTTGCAAGCAGGGACGGGGAGGATGATACAGCCACGGGGCTCCTGAGTGCTCTCCGCCGTGGATTATTATTATTTTTTAAAAGCCCGCATAAACCAACACACGACCTCTTTTTGCTCAGGGCCGGGACAGCATGGCAACAGTGCTGCTCCATTCACAATTCCCCAAGCTCTGCCTTCATATATTATTCCAGGTCTGTTAGGCTTTTGGGTTGGGTTTGTGGGGTTTTTTTTGCTTTAAATATTTTATTTAGTTTTACTCTCTTCCCTTCCCCAAAGCTCCCCAGGGAATATCAGGCTCCCCAGGAAGGGCTGTCTCACTGCAACGAGGCAGATCCGCACCCCAAACAGAAGCTGTCCAAAAAATAATCAGAAAGCACTGTCACGCTGCACAAGGCAGGGAGCAGCGCTGGTGCGGGTACATGCTTCATGACCTCCGACCAACCAGTCTGGGAGAGCACAGCTGGCATGAGACAGCTCTCAGACCCCAAAGGGGTTAAATCCCTCAGTCATGTAAAACAAGGGCAGTTTCATGGAAGTCAATGAGGATGCAAGCAACATGAGGATGTGGGTCTGAATCTGCACCAGGCAACAGCCTCTGAACTGCTGTGCCAGCCAGAAAGGCACCCCAGAACAGCTGAAAACCCCTTTGCACCCCAAGCCTCCCCTTTATCCAGCTGAAAACGCCTTTGCAACCCAAGCCTCCCCTTTACCTGGCTTTACATCCAAGATGTCCTATTTTGGAGCAGCCTCCCCAGAAAGCACGCTGTAAGGATGTAGCAGACCTGTGTCTCAGGGGGTTACACGCACCCGTGCTTGCTCCCTGGGCTGCACCTTCCTAAACTCCCATCCCTTCGCCGCAAGCGCTGAGCCGGCACCGAGCTGGCACCAAGCTCCTGGCCATGCCTGAGCTCCACGCCAATGCACAGCTCTTGCAGAAAGATGGTGCACAGGGAGAAAACGGCGCCGTGCTGGAGGGAAGAAGGATGATGGAGGAAGAGGAGGAGGAAAACGCTTCTCCCTCTGCCTCTTTGCAAACACAGCAGCTCAGCCGGCAGCACTTCCATTGATCATAGCATTGGAGGTGATGCGGAAGCGCGTGGCTCGTTCGTTCACCGCCTTGATCTTCTCGCCGCTCTCAGCCGGCAGCTTCAGGTTCTCCAGCTCACTGAGCGAGCGCTGCAGGGCCGCCCCGTGCTTCGCGATCAGGTCATTGCAAGTGCTCAGATCCTCCAGCTTACTCGAGAGGGTTTTTAACGTGCCGTGCAGCTCGCTCTTGTCTGACTGTGAGGCGGGCTCCTCGTCGCCCGAGTCATCTGCAAAGGGAGGGATGGAGAAAAAACAGTTTCCATGGTTACCCCCGGACCGTACTAACCCGCCAGCACAGCGGGCAGGGGAACCTCCTGCCTCCTCCTGCACACAGGCAGCTCTGCTGGGGCTGGAGGTCATGGCCACCGCATCCCCTGGGAGCAGGGCGTGGTGTGGAGGAGCAATGCAGGACGTCACCCAGAGCCCCGAGAAGCATCCAAAGGGCTCCTGTGGCTGTTACCAGGATTTGGTTCAGGGCTGCTAAGGCTGAGCAATGCGGGGGCACTGCATGGGGAGCCGTGTGCTGGTGCCACCGGGGAAGGGCCACGTGCCAAACCTCCCCTTTCCACGCACAGCTATGGGAGCCAGGCACAGTGTCAATGCACCCTGCGCTGGGAGCGAAGCTCGCGCAGGCTCTACAAGGTCTGCTTTGGGCAGGATAAACTATCGCACCCAAGGGAAAGGTCAGAAAAACACAGGGGAGAGTAACAGCCTTTCCCCAAAACCACCATCACATCTTCACAGGGCAGAAAACTCCACAATAAGTATCTCAAGTACAGCAGAAATGGTTATTCCTGCAACTCCAGAACACTTGGGTGACTTAAAACCAGAAAACCAACCCAAAACCGAGCAGCGAGTATAACAGAGCACTTCTTCAGATCATCCCACTGCTTCCCTGGGGAAGGCAGAGGAGGTGAGTGGCTCCGAGATGCAGCACTGGCCAAAGCAAATACAAAAAGCAAGAGCAGAGCAGGTCCTGCGCAGCGTCTGTGCCTCATCTTTACGTTCAAAGTTTAGCCGAGGTTTCTCCGGGTGCACAAAAAACCACTAAGGCAGGACAGCACAGAGCAGTCACCTCATTTTCCCTCCCTCAATTATCTGTTTCTGCATTAAAAGGAGATGGGGTATGGCAAAACATGCCTGCAGCTTCTCTGCCAGGGCTGGGGGAGCCAGGAGGGAGGAGGATGTCCTCCAAGCCAGCCAGGCTGAGAGACACCACGATGCTGCGAAGCACAGACTTCAGGGATGCCTTGGTTAAAGCAGGGGTGTAGCACATCACCTTTCTGCACTGCAAGGAAAAGGAGAAAAGCCCCTACTTCACTGATAGGTAGGCATTTGGGTTTTATTCCTGGCGTGTTTATAAGACCTTTTGAAATGCTGTAGATATTGAGACTGATGTTCAGCTATTGCTCGTATCGATTCCACCGCTCTTAGGCCAGCTAAGGAAAATGAGAGAAAGAGCACCCTTCATTTAACAGTACCAAAGCAGTGTTTCTAAGGCAAGAGCCAGAGCAAGCTGGATAATATAAAAGGACCATCAACATGGAGTCGAAGCAGCAGAGGAGCAGAGCACGGTGCTGCACCAAGTCTCATGGCTATGAAGGTACCCAGAAAGGATGTGATGGGACAAGGAAGCATAGCCCAGGGACAAGGCTTATCCTACACAGCAGGATTTACCCCAGCTGCCCAAGGACAACAGGAGAAGAAAATTAAAGCCCTGCTGGGAAACAGGGCACAGAGCAAAATGAAAACAGCTCATGAAGCACTAGGGTAGCATCTCCCAATGCAACCATTTGGTCCATCTGCAACCCAGCTATGAACATCCACAGCACACAAACCTCCGACTTAAAAGCCAGGAGGTGAAGTGTGGCTTGCAGCCACCAAGGATGCTCAAAGAATAAGTAATCCATCAGTGCCAGCATTCACAGCACCTACAGGAAGCCAACCAAGACCTTCCCAAGGAAGGTGAGCAGCCAGCCAAGGTGCCAGGAGCAAAGCTGTCTCCCACCGAAAGGCTGAGGAGCTACTAAGCTGCACAGCCGGATGGGAAGCCCCGCTTTGGGGGACAGAACCAGCATTTTGGAAACACAGGAGGCATCAGGGAAGTCTCCAGCACAGGTGGAAGGAGATGGGCAGGGGAAAGAGAACAAGAATGGGAATATGCAGGATTGGAAGGCTCCATCCCCAGGAGGGTGCACAGAGGTACCACGGCAATGGGCATGAGCTTACACTGCAGGGATCTTGTACGTGCCAACTGCAAGAGATCTAGCAGGAAAATTTAAGCCACTTTTTCACAAGTAACTAAAGTAACCAAAGCCTCCCTAATGTCCACTTTCTCTTTCAAGTATTTCCACGGTGCTCTTCATCCTGGGGCTAACAAAGGCACTGCAGGTGACTGGCAGCGTATACACATCCCCCTGAGCTTTGAATATTGTCTTTGTCCCTGTCCTCAGCTGGTGCATCCAAAGGACAGAGCATACTGTACCATGCAGAGGATGCTCTCCAGGAGATGTACACCCTGCTGTTACTGCTGCTCAGAGACATCTCCCTGAGGCTTTCCAGGGCAGTGTCGGTAGAGGCTTGAATCCATTTCCTTTCACAGTCTCCCATGCATCTCTCCTCCACCATCAAATACAGCATGAGCTTTCACCAGAGCTACTGCCCAGCAACACAACTTCCACCTTGCAAGGTTCCGTCTGCAGCCATCGCCTCTGATCAGGCTGGAAACCTGCTCCTCTCAAGCTGCAAGGTCCATGTGCTGGTCCAGCAGGCCAACCCTGGGGCACTTCCCCTGTCCCACAACACCACACACCCTGGCAGCACACACACCCGCGGTCACCGATCCAAACACAGCCCAGATCTCAGGTGTGCAATCTGCACACAGGGTGGGCATGGGATGGTGGTGGCATTTACACAGCTCAGCCCAGACAGAGCCACCTATTTGCAGTTCAAGAGCCCCCAGCTCTCTCCAGGGGCGCATCCACGCTCTCCCTATGAGCATCCCAGCAGCCTCTCCTGGGCTGGGCGAGCTGCCTGCACTCCAGCATGCAGATGGGAACCACCTCTCCATAGCATCTGGCAGTCTGATCACTAGTAAGTCCAGTCTTTAATAGCTAATTTATAATATATTACAATGTTTTATAAAACCACCAGAAGCGGAAGTCAACCACGCTAGCTTGGTTTTCATCACAGACACCAGCCAGGCAACTATCACCGCTAACTGCCAAAAAGCACCATTACCTCTGTGGGACTCAAGAGGACAAACCAAATTTGGGATTTTTCTGTTTGCAGACATCAGTAATACTTCCCAAAGATAATTTTATCTGTTTACAAAGACTGCAAAAATTGTGCCAAGCAGAAGGAAGCACCTCTCTTCCTGTCCTCAGGCAGCATTTAACCACAAAATCCCTCCTCCTCCCAGATCACAGCCTGGGGATTTTGCCCACCGTTAAAACACTCCAACACAGGGGTGGCACCATGCGGCGACGGATGGACTCCATCTCTTGCCAGGGCAGCATTTCCTGCCCGTTGCTGCCCGTTTGTTGAGGCTGCAGTATGATCCCTGCCTGTGTGCTCAGCTTGAGGCAGGAGGCACGAACGACGCAGCATGGCCCATTTTTTTATCACTGTGTTACATAAAAGCCTTGAAGCCCAGGAAAAAGAGGGAAGGCACCTGGATCAGACCATGCCAGTTGTGATGCTGCTGGTTCAAGGCTAAGTTAGCTGAGCTCAACATCCCTCACCAGCTCCCCACCTGCCCCAAAGGTGCCTTCACTGCCATGCCAGTGGGGCGTGCAGCAGGATCCCACCTTACTCCTCCTGCTTGTGCACATGAAGAAATGGAGTGTCAGACCCTCTGCTGAGGCTGCAGACTTCAAATGAGACCTTATGGCTAGATGGCCATTATGCGCCCACGGGGGAGCTATGTGCAACGCTGTCTCAGGAGCAAAAGCACACCCAATGCAGAGAACAGAAAACTCACTACGTCTCTGGTCCCCGCACCCCCAGTAAGCACACCCCTGTAACCAGCACTGCCTTCACACCCATAGCCCCAGTGCCCAGGATGCACAGAGACCTGGACCAATTCATGCTTCTGTGATTCACAGTAAAATAAAAACATCTCAAGCAACATAATTTGTTGTAATTATTTCATATCAAAGCACAGAAAGAAGGAAACACAATGTCACAGCTACAATCAAATCAGAGCAAGTTAAAGCAGAAATGATCATGCAAAGCACCGAAACAACCTCATTGCCATCCCACCTGGGCGAAACACTGACACCGGCTCTGAAGACGGGTTTCCAACCCCCAATAAATGCTGAAACACCTCCCAGCACTGAAACACTCCACTCTTTATGACCCCTGCAGCACCAGCACAGGCCAAGCAGGATCGACCAAGTCCCTGGAAACCCCTCATCCCTCACTTCGCTCCCTGGAGGTTTTTTGACTTTAAAGATGGTTATCTGTGAATTCCTGGCTCTGGGAAAGCTGGGAGGTTGAATGAGGTCTTGGCTTCACCTACCAGCACAGCACTGGAAAAAGCATCTTAAAAGGCCCAGGAGCAAACTGCAGCCCCACGGGGACCACCATCATGAACAGCAGAGTGGTGCATGCTCTTATTATTATTTTTTAAATTATCCTCATGTCTCCTCCACTCCGTCCTTCTGCACTTACTCCACACACAAAGCTCACCAGAGACTTCAGCATCCTCCAGTACGGAGCTGCTGGCAGCACATGGCTGTCCAGTCCAGGGAAGAGAGGTGTGAGGACCAGCATGGCCTCTCCCCTTTGTCCTGGGAGCCCAAGGGAAAGCTGACCAAAGCCAAAATAAGCACAGAGACAAATCCATCTCTTTCCACAAGCAACTACCAGCCTTTCAGATCTGCACCAGCTTCAGTCCAGGGGCTTGTGGGTAAGAGCAGCCCCAGATCCAAGCAAAGGAGCCCTGCTTCCACATCATGTTCACCCAGCTCTCCAGCTGGTTTCTTGTCCTGTGGCAGTGCCAGGAGGGTGAGGACAGGGTTGTCTGGGGTCTGGACAACCCCTCATTTGCCCATCTCGGGGAGGATGGTCCCAGGGAAGTTGCTTTGCTGCAGCAGCACAAGACCCACCAACTCCTACAGTTACTGCTGAAGGTCATCTGTAAAGTGCTGCAGGAGGGAGGAGCAGCAAAATTTATTCTTATTGCTGAGGATTAAGGATTCACTCATCCAGAAAGGTGAAGCAG